GTTTTGTTATTCTTCATAATAACATGTTTCTATTCTAATTCTATTCTATTCTAAAACATACAAAGAATGGTTGCAGAAATTGGGTATGTCTAGTTTAATTAAAAAGACTAGAGGAGATATAATAGCAGTCTTCCAGTATTTGAAGAGCTGCCACAAAGAAGAAGGAGTCAAACTATTCTCCAAGGCACTTGAGTGTAGAACAAGAAGCAATGGGTGGGAGCTAATCAAGGAGAGAAGCAACCTTTAAAATAAGGAGAAATTTCCTGACAGTTAGAACTATTAATCAGTGGAAGAACTTGCCTCCAGAAGTTGTGAATGCTCCAACACTGGAAGTTTTTAAGAAGAGATTAGATAACCGTTTGTCTGAAGTGATGTAAGGTTTCCTGCCTAAGCAAGGGGTTGGACTAAAAGACCTCCAAGGTCCCTTCCAACTCTGTTACTCTATTCTATTCTAAAACATACAAAGAATGGTTGCAGAAATTGGGTATGTCTAGTTTAATTAAAAAGACTAGAGGAGATATAATAGCAGTCTTCCAGTATTTGAAGAGCTGCCACAAAGAAGAGGGCATCTACCTGTTCTCCAAAGCACCTGAAGGCAGGGCAAAAAGCAATGGATGGAAACTAATCAAGGAGAGACCCAACCTAGAACTAAGAAGAAATTTCCTGACAGCAAGAACAATCAATCAGTGGAATGGCTTCCCTTCAGAAGTTGTCAATAGCAATAGCAGTAGCCCTTAGACTTATATACCGCTTCACAATGTTTTACAGCCCTCTCTAAGTGGTTTACAGAATCAGCCTCCTGCCCGCCCCACAACAATCTGGGTCTTCATTTTGCCCACCTCAGAAGGATGGAAGGCTGAGTCAATCTTGAGCCTGGTGAGATTCAATTTGCCAAATTGCAGACAGCCGGCAGTCAGCAGAAGTAGCCGGCCATACTGCATTCTATACACTGCGCCACCACGACTCCACAAATGCTCTAACACTGGAGTTTGTTTAAAGAAGTGTTTGGATAATCATTTGTCTGAAATGGTACATGGCTTCCTGCCTGAGAAGGGGGTTGGACTAGAAGACCTCCAAGGTCCCTTCCAACTCTGTAAAAGTTATTCTGTAAAATGAGGAGCTGATGAATGGCTTGGTGCCTTGAAATTCCTCCCCATATAAAGGGAAGGACAATGGATAGCCCATAAATGCTCCAAATAAATAATCTCTTATGTTTTAGACCACTGCCAGCCAAGTCAAAGTTAGCTTTGACCAAGCCTTTAAACTGAGTAATGGCTTGTTAAATCCTTTTTGGAATTAAGAACCTTCAAAATGTCAATCTCATGGATGATTCTCTTTCAATCCTTAGCAAACTAAATTTCATGCAAGTTTAAAGGTTTTTTTTAAAAGTATTCTGAAACAAACAGCAAAAGGATAATTAGAACATTAATTTTGGAAAGTTTCAAAATGGATGAAGGGGGGCAGATGAATTGGAAATAAGACGTTGAAACTAATTATAAGAATCCTTCCAGTGGGTTGTTTAAAACCCTATTAAAAATATATGAAGGTTTTGATTCTAAGTGTAAGAAATCTTCCCATGGGAAAGTGTTGTGGATTAGAAGAAAAACATGATAAGAGGAGACTTTGAAAGCTGGACACTAGAGGCAACCAGAAAGAGTTTAAGATTATAATTGAGAAGAGACCCACTAATGCAGAATGGGAGGCAAGTATTTTAACTTTGGAAGAATTTAAGGATGTTTGAGGAAACCACACCTAGAGTACTGCATCCAGTTTTGGTCATCACACTATAAAAAAGAGGTTGAGGCTCTAAAAAGAGTGCAGAGAAGAGCAACCAAGATGATGAGGAGATTGAAGGCTAAAACATATGATGGACAGTTGCAGA